AAGTATGTAGAAATAATTTTATTGATTAAAAGGAAAAAAAATAAATTGCACTTGGATTGCAGTTTTCTGGCTGATCCCTGGCTACTGATCTTTAAAAAGCCTGACCTGTTGATTTTGATTTTGGTTGGTATGAATTTTTTTTGTCTGAAATGTCGCTCACTGTTGCAAGAAAGTCACTGACTTGGTAACCGTGGGGTGCATATTGTAAACGTTCAGACCTGACCTGGTGGTTCGGTCTGTCAGTCAAACTTCTCACTGTAGAACAGAAGAGGACAGAGCCTGATTTTTAAACCTTTGCTGACAAAGATAGGATCAGGGGATAAGATGGGCTTCACATGTGAGTGTCAGCCAATCATGATCCCCCAAAATTAAGAAAATCGGCGCCCAGAAATAAAATGGTCGATAAATCAGTTGGCCAATAAATGTATCTGTTATATATGTATATAATGTAAACAGCACTGTCAGAGATGCGATACATTTGTAGCAGGTGTGTGAATGACCTAATGATTGGGCTGCTGATTGCAGCCAGTCCACATTGTTAGCAGAACTAGAGGGCCCCAAAACCACATTTCGCCCCATGGACGCTTGAGTCTATGCCCATAGTTTTGCATCTGGGTCTTAAATAATAAACGCTCAGACTGCAAAGCAGGTAAAGGTCCAGATGCAATGCACTTGTGTCAGGTGTTTGGACAGATAAGATGTCAGATTTGTGCAGGTCCAAGTCACCTCCCAGCAAGAGTTCAGACCTCTGCCTTGCAGGAAGCGAAGGCTGCTGTCTGAGGTTTGCGATAGAACTGATGGATTCATCCCAGAGAGTCCAAGCAGACCGCGGGATCTTTGCTTTCACTCGCAAACCGCACAGACACACGCGTTAGATTCAAGCCGTCAATTCCCCAGCGGGTGATGCTCAATATGGTGGAGGGGAGGGCCAAGGGATGTCATCTGGTGGAAATAGGATTCCACCTTATAGAAGGCAAGGCTGGATCAGGCTGTCAACAGAGACGCAGTGCTGGCTGACACGATGCGCCAGGATTGAATATGAACTTCACTCTCACAGCCTCACTTCGAAGGTGAAAACGTTAGTACTCGTGCCAAGACATTTAAAGAAGAAGAAAAAAACAATTTCCTCTCTTGGGGTCGATGTAGGTGGATGCTATTAAGCTGTTTTTGACAGAGGGGAATAAGTTGTTGATACGATACAATAGATGGCACATCACATTTCTCTTATTTTTATTTTTTTTTAGTCTATTGCTACTCAGCTGGATACGACCAAACATGTATGAAATATTTACAAGCAGGAAAAATGTACCAACTGAAGTCAGATGCAGGGAAGAAGCTGTGGAGCTGACAGAGCTCCACAGCTTCTACCATCAACGTGTCGGGGAAGAAAAGGATTCTCTGTTGTGCATGCATCTCTGTATATATTTTTTTGAAGTGCTGCAGTGAGACAAGACATGGGTACCGAAAAGAACAGCAGTGTTTAAAAAGACGGCACCAAAGGAATTTGTGTTGAGGCATTAGGGAAGAAGATGTGCCAAGGTCACACACACACAAAACAACAATCGCGCTGGAGCTGTCAAACAGACTAAAAATACATGTCTTTATTTATTTATTTATTTTTGTATTTACTACCATTTTTGCTTCAAAATAATACCAAATCACCTGGGATTTTTTTTTTAAACATCACCAAAATCTGGTCCCGTTTTAGATTATAAATTGTTAATGCTAAGCCTACAATGCCTGGAGAGAATCTAGATCAGAATGTGCCTCTTATGATCCATATGCTGCTGCTTTTCTCCAGACCCCAGGGGGTTTCATTTACAGAAGGGGGTAAACACGCAGAGCTTCACACCATATCCCCACTCGTCTCCTCAGCCTAATTACCAGCAATCCTTGAAAACCACTATCTTAAAATGCTATTACATAGAAAAGTAAACAATGTGGTTTAAGAAGAGCAAAGTGAATGGTGCATTTTAAATGTGCATCAGCAGTACAAAACTCTTTAGGTCATGAAAACTAATTTATGACTATCACATAATGGGGCTGGTTTCACATTCTCATGCTCTGATAGGGGCAAAATAAAAGAAATATTCAAAGTTGGAAAAATTGAATGGGAATTAACAGAAGTTTATTGGAATCAATAGCAACTGTTGCTTTTGATTCCAGGCCCATTTCAAACTCCTCGTCATGAACCTGCGTTTTACCTTCTAAACTCTGACTGCAGACTTAAACTACCTTAATTAAAATAGTTTATTTCTAAAAAGATTTAAAGTTTTATGCAAAAAAAAAAAAAAAAACAGACTATTAAAATCCATGCTGCCTCATTCCAAGTAGGTTTTTTTCAACACATTTTTACCTGGAACCACAACCTAAATAGGCCACAAACAGAGTTATAAACAAGTCCTACAACTAATTGTAGCATGCTATCATTAGCTTAGCATTTCAGGAAAATGCTCACCCTGACATCAACAAAAGAGCAAGATATGAGTTTATTTAAGGCTGCAGCTTTATGTAAGAGTCAGATATGTTTCTGAGCTGAACACTGATTACATTACTTTAAAGCAGTCCTGTAGAAACTCTGCTACTCAGTTGAGAAAGCAGCTAAAAATGGATGGAAAACATGTCGCCAAAATCCAATATAGTTTAAGCATTTGTTTTAAAAGACATTCCTGCCTCTTACATACAGCTACATTCTTCTATAAACTCACATCTTGTGCAATCCAATGACGATGTCATGGTGAGCAGTTTGATAAAATGCTAAGCGAATTATACCATGCTTACTCCGTTCTGATATGACTTGTTGATAACTGCTCTGTGATGACAACTGTGTGAAGATCCGACCAAAGAAAAACCTATATTTTACGGCTTTTGTAAACTAGAAATTTTTACGACTTATACCTTGTACTGATTTTATTACATATTGGACTAGGACTCTGTGTTTGTCAAGGCACAACGCTGAAAGATTTCACCAAGAATTGGTAATGGGCATTAAAAAAACAGATTAGGACATCCTTCGATGCAATAACTGCGAGAGGATTGGTATTCAGCAGGGATGAGTCACTGCACAGGAGGGAACCCAAAGAACTCTTAGAATGGGTGCAGAGCAAACAAGCTCTGCATTAGTATGGGGAAAGTAAGGAGGAAGCTTGTGGACTCTGCACTCTCCTTCTTTTTCCTTTTGCCACAGGTAAAAACATCTCTGCTGTTGGGGCTGGTCATAGCTGACCGAAAAACAAGTCATCGCAGCCTCTGTGCTATTAAGGACATCTAAAACAGCAGGTGTTGTAGCAGTGTGTCCTTTATCACAAAGGACCCCACCGGTCCCGTGTACCAACTGTTTCACCTCTGCTTGTATACAGAAAGCTGAAAAGTCTTAAAGTGAGAACAAAGCAACTCAAATGAAGGTTGTTCCTTCTAAACTCAATGCCCTGCTCAATGATCCTTAACTGCTATATTGTTGGAGTGGTGCCACTACTGTCACTAATCTTTTTTCTGCTTTTGTTCATTTGTATTTATATTTCAAAAATTGCTTTGTGCTGTTTTTAAATCCAGTCGCTTCGATAATAATCTGCAGGGTCTCAATCTTTTTAATGCTTTTGCTCACACAGAAAGCCTAATAAAATGAACCTTAAATCTTCAAAATAGCTAATGGAAACACCTCTATTATTGATCGACATTAATGTCTGTAATCCACTAACCTCCCACACAACAGCTTATGCCCTCCTCCCCGTGTTTTCAGCCTAGCTGGGGGCATAATTACTGATCTCAGTCACCTGCTTGACACTTGTCACTTTTAGTACCGTCACAATTTCTAAGATCAGCGTACAAACGGTCTGCTTCTCCCTTTCGAAAAGAAAACCTTCTGCAACTGAGTTCAAAGATGATAAACAAGATTGTGACGTGAATAGAAAGAATCTGCGCTGGACTCAAACGCTGCCGAAAAGATAATTACAAAAGAAGCCATATTGACAAACTGAGAGAACGGGTTCTATAATGAGACATCTGGTGCAAAAACAAGGTTTTTAACATGACAAAACACAGCATCTTACGTAGATGATGTGGACTGTTTTCAGTTTCAATTTAATGGACCATGTAATGGTTACAACAGTGGATTATTTTTAGAGGAGAGAGAAAAAAACACACAGTTACTGTACATTGCTGAAATGTACAGTAACATTTATAAGGGGATCATGCTTTTATTTAGCATGATCCCTTTATAACTAATGCAACTTATCCAACTGCAGAACAGTGAAAAAGTATTCACATCCCCTGTAATGTTTTACACTGTGTCATGACACATTTACAAACTTCAAAGTATCCATCTGGTAACACTTTATTTGATCGGGTGTGCATTAGGCTGACGAGAATGTCTTCTTGCATTATTATGCCTTGCTCATTATATTACTTAAAAATGGTTTCAAAACAACAATGTTATTGCTTATTGCAATAACTTCTGGGACAATTTATCATCCAGCAAAATTTCCTATTGTGACATGAGAAAATGTAAGACATTTTCTATGTAAACTATTGCAAGGCATTTAAATTTCAACTAGACTATTTTAAAAACAATGCTGCACATATTTTTTAAGCTTTATTGAGGCCGATAGCGCAGAGACAGGGAAAGTGGGTAGACTAAAAAATGTTGGCTTTTGGGACATAGAAGTTTTGTGCTTAAAATGTCCATTTCAACTTAATGGATTTAGAATTGAACACAGAGCACAAATGAGCTCCAGTCTGCAGCAGCAACGGAGGAACTGCAGACAAAAAAATCTGAATTATATGACAGATAATAGTTACGGCCATCTGCTCTCTAGATTGGGGAATAGACTTGCTTGTGTTTAATTGGTCTAGGAGGGGCTGTTATAGCAAATAAAAGAAAAACTAGTGTGTAATGTGCTGAAAATACTTTTAGAAAAAAAAAGCCCTTTCTTTCATTGGTCAAATTGCTTCTTTTACACAAAGGAAGAGAAAGGAGAAAATGTGGCCAGTAAGTCACTTACCCATCACTTTAACAAAATAGGCATCAGCTTCAAAATTGTTCTTCAATGCGTGGATCATTAAGTCGCCTTTGTCCTCTGTCTTGCTCATGATGAGCATGTCTAATATTCCCTGTAAATGTAGATACAGATAAAACAAAAAGACAAGTTTAGCTGCTGTAATTATCAGGACTGGGACATACTATGGATGGTCTTATGGATCAGAACACATATGAGGATCAATGAAAAAACTTCTGTTTTAGTTTAACATTTTATTCTGCCTCATGCAGAGGCAAATAATTACTGAATTTGAAACTACAAATGTGTAGTTTTCTCACATTTAACTTTGATATATTTGTAAAATATAACAAAACAGGAAGGAATGCCTCGCCATCTTTATTGCCGTATCAACCCAGTCTGTGTAAGGATGACCAGTGGCGCCCTCTTCTGGAAGGCAGCCACACAACAACTCTCAAAGACAGTTTTTGAGAAACCAAATCAATTGGAACTAATTTTAATCTAATAAATCATTAATTGAGAATTAATCATAATTAGACCAAATGTTTGCATCCCTGATTGAGGACCTTTTAATTTGATTAGTGACAATGATCTAAGGAAACAATCTGCTAAAACCAAATATGGAACAAAAAGCAAGAAATATAAAAATAAACACTAATAATACACTTTTATTAATGCAAGATTCAAAATATTCTTGTTTACCCTATCAAATTTATTCAGCAATGTTGAAATTCTCACAAAGTCTGATAAGTTTATGAAATATTTCAACTGGGTAAAGATAGCAGATATTGATTACTGGTGAACTGGGAACAGAGTACTGGAAGAAAAAAGCAGCATAACAAAGACACTCTACTCACATCCTCATAGATGTCAAAGAAAGTAGCCATGACGGCCTTCTGGATCGCCCCCAGATCCGTTTGGTCCCAGTGGATGCGGAACATCCGTCCCACGCTGCTGCAGTTGGGTACGTTACAGGGAGCGTTCTCCAACAGGAAGGCCCGCTGATCACTGCCAAGAACAGAAATAAATACTCTTTATTATTTACATCTGACATGGTGATTGCAAGGTTACCACTGATTGTGCCAAGTAATTCAAGACATCGCTACATTTGTGTTGACTTTTCAAGAGAACAATTCTTGATTTTAGGTTTTAACATAAAGAATATCATCAAATGAATGTATACATTTTTGTCAACAGTCCATACAGTTGGAAAGGTCATTTTTTTTATATAGCACATTTTTAGGAACAAAGTAATTCAAAGTGCTTTACATGAGTTAGAAAGAAATACAACAAAACAAAGAAAAGAGCAAACAAAGAGAAAAAGAAAAAAAAAGAGGATAACTATGTATAAGAATAAGTAGTCTGTGATTTATAAACTAGCAGGAGTTCCTTTAGGCTCTTGTTCTGATCATGTTAATCTAAGGTAATGATCAGTTGTTCTAGATAAACTAATAAGTATTAAAAACAATGTCACAAAAGTATTTATGTTTGCAACCAGAAGATAAATACACGAAAAAAATATTTTCATAAAAGTAATCTTTATACTTTTAATGTCATTTTTTGTAGAAATGTTATACACATACTGCATAAAAACACCTAGGAAAACCTGCTAAAGTTGCCATGTTTTTAATCACCCATATATTTTAGAACTTTGTTGAATTCTTTAGCATTTTTGGCTAAAAATGCTAAATTCTCAGTGAGCGATGGAAAGGACCATACACAAGTTACAGGCTCCTGGATTAGACCCTAAAACATTAATGATTTGAGGTTGAACATGAGGGCTTTCTTATGCTGCAGTTGTGAACAAAACCTTCAACTGCTCATGTACAAAAATAAAGACGGTGTGTGTCAGAGTTCAGGTAAAACTAAGGAGCACACTAAAATAGAACCTATGTTCCCTCATCCCCCTTCAATGTAACTCCTCTGATCAAGTTCTTATTATTTTATTGCATTACATCTGTTGTTGTAAACATATGTGGCCTTGTTCCGTAAATGAAGGCAGACTGTGATTGATTTCCTGGAACTAAATGAAATCCCTACAGCTCTAACCTTTTTTCTTCCTTTCACTACATCTACCTTTTCAGACTGTTTCAACACCATCTTGTTTCCCTCTGGGGAACCGAGCTGACCTCTTTCTACTTCTGTTTGGGGAAGCTGCTTCACACACATTCTTAGACTCTACAAACAAAGAGGTAGAAATAGTACATTTTACATTCCCTTTTGGAGATGATGCAACTATAGTATGAGGTGCTACTTTAACATAGCATATTAGACAAAATGATTTCTACATTTCCATAACGTAAAATTACAGTACCTTCTGACAATCTGAAGGCTTAGTTTCTTTTGTAATCAGGGTTCTTTATAAATACAAATGATATTATTCAAAGATCTGAATTGTTCATTTTAAATGGAGATAATGTTGAATCATCTAACAAATAATATGAAAGTTTTATACCATGAAAAAGATTTCTTGTAATTTTTACCAAAATGTATTAGAAGCACTGCATCTGACATAAAATAAGCTAGGGAAACAAAATACACAAAAGCAAGAGAGACCAAATAACAAACACTCTATAGATCTTTGCTTTCGCCAGACATTTTTAAGTCTAAGCTCAAGACATTTCTGTAGACAGGATTTTAATACTATGTAGATTAGTGCCATTTCCCCTTATTTTTATTGTTGGTTTTGCATTTTCTTTTTCTGATGATTTGTTAGTCGTTGTCAAGCGCTGTCAATCAATCAACTCATTAATTGTCTGTATGTTCTTTCTCCATCTGAAAGGTGGTCCACCATGTGAGAATGTGTTGGTGTCAATGCAAAGAAAGAAACGTGCAGACACAGAAAACCCCCAAGACTGAACTTTAGAAGGCCTTTGGTTGTCCACTAATGTCTGTTTGCTCTTTCTGAGAGTCGGGTACTTCAAACGAGTCCTTTCCCAGCCCTGCAGGGGTTGCACTGGTGAGATGAACTCAAGGTCATAATGCAACACACACTCACACACACATGCTTCTGCCAAGACACAGAAACAGCATTGCTTGCTGTATCTTGCTTGTGTGGCCAGCAGCAGACTCCAACCTTAGCTTTTTTGTTTGTTTGTTTTTATACGCATAAAATCACAGTCTGTCTGCAGTTTTTATGGTTATACTCCTACTGTGTCCTACAAACTTAAATAAGGATGATAAAATGGAAGAAATAAAACTTGGTTTCTTTGGCATCTTCGTTCACAAAATAAAAGGAGTACACTGTAAATGTGATTAAAAGTACTTGGCAGCCTCGTTAGTACTTTGTAAAAGCTGTGGACTTAAAAGGTAGAAGAATTATTTATCCTGTTTGTCCTCCAGGTGTTAAACAGCAATAATTGTTAGCATCATTTTATTGCCTGTTGCTAACTAAGCCAAGCTGGCAGACTTAAAATCTGCTACATTAATCATTTTTATTAGTATATTTACATTCTCATAACCTTCCCATGTGACGTTCAGCAGATTTCTGTTTGAGTTGTACAAAATGTAAAATATCAAGGTCTGTGTTCAGTTAAGATTGATGAAAAAAATTAGTACATATATTGATGTATTTGGTCCAATAACTACAAAGATGCACATTTATTTAAAACTTCTAAGGTTCATGTGAGAATGTAGAAATCAAGGTCTATAAACTGACGATGTTTGGAATCACAAAGGACATGTAGGATATGCTTCTAATCCAAAGATTTCGCATGTTGCCATGTTTCTGATTCAACTCCGAAGCTGATCATCCCAAAATATCCTTCTGTCAGAAGGTGGGAGAGAAGACTTTGATGATTCTGGATGCAAAAATCTAAAACGGTGTATATATTTTTACAGGAGCATTACAATACTGGAAATGTGAGTTAAAAGTTGAAATGCCGCATCATGTAATAAAAATCAAGCATCAGCAAGTACTGTTTCTCGCAAAAGTGAAGCCATAATCTCTAAGCCATACCTTCTGCTCTTTCAGCATGCCAACAGCGGTGTGGATGTCTAAGGTTGTGTGCCTGGGGGCTTTGATTATAACATGACTTCTGTGTCAGGACTTGTGTTTTTTTTCAACATTTTTTTTTCATTTCGAGACTGTATGGAATCTTCCACGGTTTCTTTCTCTACCCACCTCCACTCTAATTGGACTCTGGAGGAGCAGTTGGCTGGCAGTAGGACATCCAGCTAATCATGCCCATGACCCTTTTCTTTCTCTACCTCAAGCGTTCAAGGATGCCACTACCTGCCTGTCTTTGCACTTTCCAGCATTTACTAATCAGTAAACTTGATCATGTTGAATGTCTGGAGAAATCTGACTACCGCACTTTTCATGCCCCCCCTCCTTGCCTACCACCTAATTTCTTCTGGGTTTTTATGTCCTTCACCAGCTCCACTTCAACATTGTCAGGCTCAAGGGAAAATACTTTTGTTTCCATTTTTACTTTTATGTTCTACTTCAGTCACGTGACCAAGGACTCAACTGAATGCCTTCTGGCTTTGGATTAGTTTTATGAATGGTCAAAATGTATTTGAAAATTCTCTTTTCAATATACTTATCTATCTCTTTAACAGAATGACACGCAGTTCTTCAGAAAAGAGTCCTTTACCTCTCTTTTCAGCTGAAAACTTAACATCTAACTCTTGATCATAAAAGCTGATTGCTTAGAAACAGAGTTGAGTATTAATGTAACATTACTATAAATGCTATATAAAAATAGGAGTTGTTAAAAACTCAGATGACAGCTGACCTTCACATGATTTAAAATGGTGTTACATTTATTGATGAAAAGCTTATTTTCTGTATCTGCTGCTGTCATTCCTGCTGTGTAGTGGTATATGTTTCACTATAGACGGCTGCTCAAAAGAAAATGCAATGAGCGCAAGTCATATGCAACCATACAGCGGCAGTCAGAGAGAAATAAAGACCAAAAAAATATACAGAAGCAGGGCTGACTAGATATTTAAGAATTGTGACAACATATACATTCACCCATTCACAGTGCTACAGACACACATACCCAGATTGGTAGACAACTTTGGCTTAAAAGCCTTGCTTAAGGCTACACAGACATGTGGCAAGAGGGAGCTGGAATCAAACCCACTGCTTTCAGATTTCAAAATGACTACTCTATACACTGAAACACAGACACTCATAGTCAGACAATAATCCATTGAGGACACAAACATTTTCCTAACCAGCCCTTTTTGTCTTCAAAGGCCCAGATGGGACTTTCTACAGTCTCCTAGTACTAATTTTTCTGTGTAAATCAGCCAACACTGTAGTTGTACCATCACCGACCTATTACTTAGAAACTTAGTTATTAGTCATTGGTCCAATAACTATCGGAGCTGATCATTTTTGTAGTAATAAAAGAGGATGAAGGAGTCGTGGCTGAAAACTGAGTGAAGGAAAGACGAGGGCATGTCCACTGAGATGGACAGTGATACATTTTTGGGTCCCCGGGGTGTTGTGGTTTCTCATTCTCGGACCCTGCGGTGAGGAACAGAAGTGGTGACTCATGTTATCACAATCAAAGTCAAACACTATTCTCTGGCAGCGTCACTGCTCTGCATGGTCTGCCTGCTCTCACCGACTCCTTTAGCTCCACATCATCTCTCCATGGCTTCACGCGCCCTTCACTATGGTGCTATGGAGTCTCTGCATTCAATAGTTTTGTATTCTTGTTTTGACAATGTTCATCTGACAAACAACCAAACAACAAAAAATGAAAAGCAAATCAACATAAGACTCCATTCTTACTGTATCCCTTTTCCTAATAAAGAGCTATAAGGCACAAGAAATGTGTAGTGCAATCCACATCATTAGTCGAGTTATGGTGATTTTCCTGTCAACCAACGCAGAGACATTCTACAGCTGCTAAAATGGTGGCAGGCAGAGAGAAAAAGTGCTTTAATTTGGGTATGAAACAAAGCATTCAAGTTAAGAACCCCATCTGTGCTGCGCATACAGTAACATCTATGCCTTAAACACAGACTTTGCTCACTTCCATCCAGTT